CCCCCGCGCACCTGCCCCTCCGCGGCACAGGAAAATGCCCGCGTCGGGCTGAAACATCCCCCCCTTTTTCCCTCGTGCGGCACAGGAAAACCCCGTGCGTGCCTGCTCTGGGGCCTGCCCAGCACATACATAAACACCCCCTCACGCAGGGAATCCTCACGCGCACGCCTGACCTGGGGCTGACTCACCCCTTCTGTGCAGTGCAGGGAACCTGCCCCTCCGCGGCACAGGAAAATGCCCGCGTCGGGCTGAAACATCCCCCCCTTTTTCCCTCGTGCGGCACAGGAAAACCCCGTGCGTGCCTGCTCTGGGGCCTGCCCAGCACATACATAAACACCCCCTCACGCAGGGAATCCTCACGCGCACGCCTGACCTGGGGCTGACTCACCCCTTCTGTGCAGTGCAGGGAGCCGATGCTCCCTCCCACGCTGCATCCGGCAGAGCAGCAAGCGCACTTCCGGAACCGCCGGAAGTAGCGCTAAACTGTGGGACTTCTGTCCATCCCCGGGAAGCTGACACTACTTCCATTTTCATTTGAGGTAGTTAGTGGGGCTTCTTGGGGGCGGGGGGGAACAGGACACCTCACGATCGACGGGTCGAGGCCTCATGATCGAGTGGTCGATCGCACTCGACCTGTTGGTGACCATGGCTCTACAGAACTTACTAGAAGCTACTGAACCTCAGAAAAGAGCACCAAATAAGCACTATGAATTGGATAAATACACGAAGTGACACATTCATCTTAGAACAATGAAAAGTGTAGCACGATTATCAGTAAGGAAAATACGATTACAAACACTTAAATCGATTCTATACAGAGATTTGCCTTGTCTGCATAAAAAATTACTTTTTGGTTTATAAAACTGATAAAGTCAAAAAAATTATATTGGGAACCTGACATGTTACAAGAATAGGGCTTTCGATCACTATGATTTGATATCAATGAAATTTCATACCGGGCTCTGGGGGCATAATGCAATCTGCAGTATATTATTCAGATAAGTGATATTATGAAAATGTAATGCCATTTATTTTTGTAAGAGGCAGCCAGCTCGCCGGGAGCAGGGTGGGAGCCTGCAATCATTCACGGTGACTGATAAACCCAGGCTTATCAGTTAATGGTGTAAATGGTTATACTTTTACATCTCTAGTCTGCACTGCAGCTTGGACGGGGCATCTTAGCCCAGGCAGCCAGACATGTGCTACATTTGTTTGCGTCAACGTACTAAAGTTGCAACAAGGATACTGCTGCACTGCTGGAGAGCTGGCTACACCCCCGTGCTGGTGCGTGTTACCATGTAACTGCAGAAATTTTCCCCAGTTATCCAATTAACATCCCTAATACAGACATATTGAGTCTTATTTCCTGATTCACGGACCACCTGCAAAAAGCCACAAAGGCTAAGTCTGTCTGCCAGGATGCTTGCTTAGCTTAAAGAAAGGGAGATCAGTGAAGTCTCCTTACAAATATCCTGGATTATTGTCTAGTACATTCCAAAGGGAGCAGTCTTTCAGAAATTAGAATTTCTAATTGTAAATTAAATCCAGTGTAAAACAATACATTTTGCACCATAAATCAGCTGAGTAGAGCTATAGTTAATGTTTGACAGGAAAACAGCACTTGAAATGCTTGCTTTCTGGATACTTGAATACACTGAAGGTAAATGCATATACAGTTTTCCCCCTACCTTTAGCGTCTGCCCCCTCACCCAATCTTCCAGATATACAGTAGCCCAAGACTCAAGACAGGTCTGTGACCTCTGCCTGCTCTATTCCACAATGCAGGTCCTTGAATCCCCAAGTCCATGGTTAAATTAAAGGTTTCCAGGTAAAGGGAACCCCACTTTCCCTTCATGGGGCTTTTCCCCCCCTCCAGCCTTGAATTTTGATTCTTGCTCCTCCTTCCCCCAAAACAGATCCAGCAGCAACACTGGCTTCTGTCCCACAAGTTAAAAAATTCACCAAGCAAGGAAGACCCTGCCCTGAAGACATCATGGTCACAAAGCAAAGCTCAGACAGCGAGTCGCAGGAGCTATCTTTGTTATAGACAATTCTTTAAAGGCTATATTGTGATGTGACAATTGCAATAACTTTATTGGTGGCAGGACAGTGTAAAAGCACAGAGTAATTCCTCTCCACAGAACCACCCTCCCCCCTCCCAGGCAACAGAACTAGAAGTGCAGGTCTGGGCCATTTGCTGGACAATGGGAAACAGCTGCTCCATTATGCCTTACAATGGGAGTAACTGTTGTAGGATACAGAATGTGCATAAGCCAAGCCCCACCATCAGAGGGCCAGTTCGTGCCACCAGCACAACAGGCACCCCACTGCCAGCCAGTTGGACTGCCCTCTGGTGCATCACTGTACAGTAGTGGTTCCATGACAATATCTAGACACACAGGCAAAAGTTGAGAGAACAGCTCCTTCATGTTCCTTCTTATAAAACTTTTGGGTTCCAGGCATACTGCCCTTGTGTTCTTATGCTCTCAATGAGAACAAAAAGTTAGAGCACTCTCCCTGTTTTACTTAATCCAACTACTCTCTCACTAATGTACTTAGACCCTGATCTCTTTGAGGGCTGGTGCCATTTATTTTAGCCCTATATTCACTTCTGCAGTCCATCTGACCAGTTTTATATTAGCTGCTGCAATTTGGACAGGTTGGGTATCCCTGGTCCGGCACCCTTGGAACTTGACCGGTCCCGGATAAGAGATTTGCTGGAACAGGGAAGGTAATTTCTCTAGCCCCTGCTGCCAAACCCCCTGCCCAGCCTGCTGGCCAGCTCCTCACGTCCTGCTGGTCCTGCCAACCCCGCTAGGCAGCCACCACTGCTGGGACCCGCAAGGCAGCCACATGTGCCACACTGGGGCTCCAGGTTTTTCCAGGCAGCTGCGTGCACCATGCCAAGGCTAGGGAAACCAGTTCTAAGTGGTGGGACCGCATTGTCAAGAGGGATGAGAGAAGTGGCTATAGAACTTCTGAATGAGTAAAGCAACCTCCCTGGAGCTATGTGCTGAGCTGGCCCCTGAACTGTGGTGCAAGGACACCCCAATGAGAGCTGAGAAGCGTGTGGCCATTGCAGTATGGAAGCTGACCACACCACACTGCTACTGTTCAGCTGCGAATCTCTTTGGAGTAGGCAAGTTTACCATTGGGGCAGTATTTCTGCAAGTGTGATAAATGACATTTTGCTGGACAGGACAGTGACTTTGGGAAATATGGATGACAGTGGCTGGCTTTGTTGAAAAGGCCTTTTCTAACTGTGGCAGGAACAGTGGCCTGTACATGCTGCCACTTTTTCTAGACTTGAAATTTGCAGTAGGAGATATGGAAATGCCCACAGTGATCGCAGATGATACAGCCTTCCCCTTATAGCCATGGTACATGAAGCCTTACATGGGGCACCTGGACAGCAGCAAGGAGCAGTTCAACAACAGGCTAAGCCACTGCCAAATGGTTGTTGAATGTGCCTCTGGCAGACTGAAGGAGAGATGGAAGGATCTCTATAGCAGGCTGGACATTTAGGAGGATCATATCCCCAAGGTGGTGGCCGCATTCTTTTGCTTACATCATTTGTGAGAGTAAGGATATCCCATGAGTGGAGCACTGAGGTACAGCATTTTGACTCACACTTTGACCAGACACTTGAGCTATTAAGAGGAATGCTTATGTTGGCCATCAATATCAGGGAGGC